TAACTTCTGACAATTATTGGCGAAGATACATCCGTTTGAATTTGGAAACAGAAACTTAAGACGTCAATTTCTCGAAATGAGTTCGAGACTACATATTTTCAGCTTTTGATGCAGGGTCAAAATATATAAAAAGGGCTTCATAATGTTGAAAGAAATTCTAACTTCTGACAATTATTGGCGAAGATACATCCGTTTGAATTTGGAAACCGAAACTTAAAACGTCAATTTCTCGAAATGACTTCGCGACTACATATTTTCAGCTTTTGATGCAGAATCAAAATAGATAAAAAGGGCTTCATAATGTTGAAAGAAATTCTAACTTCTGACAATTATTGGCGAAGATACATCCGTTTGAATTTGGAAACAGAAACTTAAAACGTCAATTTCTCGAAATGACTTCGCGACTACATATTTTCAGCTTTTGATGCAGAATCAAAATATATAAAATGGGCTTCATAATGTTGAAAGAAATTCTAACTTCTGACAATTATTGGCGAAGATACATCCGTTTGAATTTGGAAACCGAAACTTAAAACGTCAATTTCTCGAAATGACTTCGCGACTACATATTTTCAGCTTTTGATGCAGAGTCAAAATATATAAAAAGGGCTTCATAATGTTGAAAGAAATGTTGACTTCTGCCAATTATTGGCGAAGATACATCCGTTTGAATTTGGAAACAGAAACTTAAAACGTCAATTTCTCGAAATGACTTCGCGACTACATATTTTCAGCTTTTGATGCAGAGGCAAAATATATAAAAAGGGCTTCATAATGTTGAAAGAAATTCTAACTTCTGACAATTATTGGCGACGATACATCCGTTTGAATTTGGTAAAAGAAACTTAAAACGCCAATATCTCGAAATGACTTCGAGACTACAGATGCATAGTCAAAATATATAAAAAGGGCTTCATAATGTTGAAAGAAATTCTGACTTCTGAAAATTATTGGCGAAGATACATCCGTTTGAATTTGGAAACAGAAACTTAAGACGTCAATTTCTCGAAATGAATTTGAGACTACATATTTTCAGCTTTTGATGCACAGTCAAAATATATAAAAAGGGCTTCATAATGTTGAAAGAAATTCTAACTTCTGACAATTATTGGCGAAGATACATCCGTTTGAATTTGGAAACAGAAACTTAAAACGTCAATTTCTCGAAATGACTTCGAGATTACATATTTTCAGCTTTTGATGCAGAATCAAAATATATAAAAAGGGCTTCATAATGTTGAAAGAAATTCTAACTTCTGACAATTATTGGCGAAGATACATCCATTTGAATTTGGAAAAAGAAACTTAAAACGTCAATTTCTCGAAATGACTTCGAGACTACATATTTTCAGCTTTTGATGCAGAGTCAAAATATATAAAAAGGGCTTCATAATGTTGAAAGAAATTCTAACTTCTGACAATTATTGGCGAAGTTTTATTATTATTATTATTAGGGGGGAAGCTGCACCGCGACCTATTTGATCTATTGTGCCCCCCTTCTGAGCCTATAGCTCTTCCATCAGCCCCAACTCCCTTACGAACGTGAGGATCTTTGTTGGGTTGAGGTCTACTATGTCTTTGTAATTCAAAACATGCGCCCCTAGGATGCTGCTTCTTCTTCTAATTAAGGCGACACATTCTACCAGGATGTGCATCGAGGATTCCTCCTCTCTTTCACAAAACCTGCAGAGATCGCTACTATATATACCCAATTTTGTCAGGTGACTCCTTAGTCTACAGTGTCCTGTCAATAGACCGGTAAGTATTCTAAGGTTGTTCTTTCCCATGGTTATAATCTGTTTAAAACGTACAAGATTATAACCACCAAAGAGGCATCTGGCTTGTCGGAGTCCTACTGCCTCTGACCAGCTCTGATGCCGTCTCTGTCTCTCCTCGTTTCTAAGTTCCAGTCGTATAGTGTGTCTCCCTATGCCACAATACGGTTCTGGTCCTGTTAGGGGCCTTTCTGCCCCCATTCTTGCTTGCTTGTCAGCCGCCTCGTTTCCCGCTATGTCCCTGTGACCCGGGACCCATCGTAGGGTGATCCTGTTGTGAGTCCCGAGTAGGTCTAGCTTTGAACGAACTTCATGGACTACCCTTTCGATGTTATCTTAGTCCCCATTATAGCTTTCAATGCTGCTTGACTATCGGATAGGATGGATATATCCCGTATTCCGATAGTTACGTTCTATGTTGATGTCCGCACATCTCCCTATCGCACACACCTCAGCCTGAAATATGCTGGTGTGCGTTCCCAGGGATTCATGGTAAAATACCCGAGGACCCACCACTCCAAGGCCGGTGCCCTGATTCGTGAGTGATCCATCGGTGTACCATTTTATGGTGTGCGGTTTCATGGGATGGACTTCATCCAGAGTTGTCCATTCCCTTTTACTACTTATACGAACTGTGAAATTTCGCTCGAATATGTATTCGGCTGCCATTTCGTCCCTAGGTTGCGTCAGTAGGGGTAGTTCGTATGAAAGGAGTTGGGCATCCTTGTGGCTTAGGATATGGTTGCCCCCAACTCCTTCTGCTGATATCCTGACAAGCGTAGCTTTCTGCTTGAGCCTTATGATATGGTGGAGTGGTGTGAGCTCCATTAAGGCTTCAAGGGCGATTGTAGGGCAGGTGCGCATAGCTCCTGTCATACATACGCAGGCCATTCTTTGCAACTTTTGTAGTTGTTTCTTCACGGTGATCATCCGCGCCCTGTCACCCCATGCAACCACCCCATAGGTTAACATGGGTCTTACTACCATCAGGTACAGCCATCTTAATATCTTTGGTGATGTTCCCCATGATTTGCCGGCAATACTACGACATGTATAAAGCGCCCTGGAGCACTTTAATATCGTATTTTGCACATGGGTGCCAAAGTGAGGTCTGCTGTCAAAAGTGACTCCCAGGTATTTGACCTCCCTACTTGTTTCTAGTAGGGTCCCTGAGAGCCATATTTGTCTCATCCTCTGTAACTTATGTCGTCTGGTAAAGGGGACGATGACTGTTTTCGTAGGGTTTAGGTTGAGTCCAACCTCCCTACACCAGTCATACGTTATCCTTATCCCTGACTGGACTACACCCCCCTTGGGGACAGCCTTTGGTGGTTTAGGACTGTTACAGTGCTATCATGTAATGATGCCGTGGCTTGTCTGGACCGTAGCAGTGCCATTATCCATCTGCTGGTGGTATGGTCCAGGCCTCTTCTTTCAAGAGTAGCATTGATTGCATCGTGAGATGTGTTATCAAAGGCACCTTCTATATCTAAGAAGGCGCACAGTGCTACTTCCTTATTATCAATTGCTGCACTCAAAGTACGTCGCAGCGGATAAAGTGCTGTGTCCGTGGACCTGCCTACTCTGTATGCATGCTGCGTTGGGTGCAGCGGCCTTTGCTTAAGCAAAGTGCTTCTGATTTTATAGTCCACCAGCTTTTCCAACGTTTTCAGTAAAAACGATGTTAAGCTGATGGGTCTGAAGGACTTTGGGCTGGTAATGTCTTTCTTCCCTGCCTTGGGGATGAAGACTACCCTAGCTCTTCTCCATGCGCCCGGTATGTATCCGAGGGCTCGACTACTTACTAATGCTTTCCTAATACGGGAGAGAAGTATTTACTGTCCCGTTTGAAGGAAGGCTGGCGATATGCCGTCCATTCCAGGGGACTTATAGGGTTGGAATGTTCCAACTGCCCAATTAAGTCTCTCCCTAGAGACTGTCGACTTGGCGCATGCCCAATCGTCAGTTGACGGCCTGTATCTACTTTCCCTCTCGATAGCCTCTTCCTGCAGGGGTGTACTTCCTGGGAAGTGTGTCTCGAAGAGTAATGCTAGTTTCTGCAGATCAGTGCTCGTAAAGGAGTTATCCCCACGCTTCAGTGCTAAGTTCGCATCAGGCGCTCGTTTCGCCAGTACTCTATGGAGCCTGGCGCCTTCGCTTGTGCTAACTATGCCTTCGCAGAAGTTTCTGTAATTCTTCCGTTTGGCCTTCCTTATCTCCTTATTATAGGAGGTCAGGCTCTCACGGTACTGCTCCCATATTCCGTCCCTCTTTGCCTTATTGAAGAGGCGACGTGTGGTCACGCGCACCCTTTTTGGGCTGTCGTTCCAACAATGGGGCATCTTTTTCCATGTACTTTTTCCCTACCGGGCAGTTATCCTCAAATGCCTTGGTTATGCATTTATTGAGGTAACCAATAGCCCTGTCAAGCTCTAGCGGCCTTCTGGGATTACCAGACAGCCCGTTGGCTAGGGAAAGTCCTAGGGTCGACTTGTACCCTTCCCAGTTGGTTTTTCTAGGGTTGCGACTTTGTGTGCTACTATCCGTATTTAATTTTAAGTTAAATAGGATAGTCCTATGATCAGACATGGATTCCTCTTGGGAAACATGCCAGTCCCTAAGGTGAGGCTTTAGGGACCGATTGATCAGGGTGATGTCTAGCACCTCTTCCCTGATCCTGGTGACAAATGTCGGTGTAGATCCGACATTACCTAGTTCTAGATTATATTTGAAAATAAAATCAGTTAGGCACTCACCCCTTAGATTGATGTCACTGCTGCCCCATATAGTATGGTGCGCATTGGCATTGCATCCGATGAGCACCGGCATCTTCTCTTTTCTGCAGTACTCCACCAGCTTCTCGATCTCTGGTGGCGGGCAGGGTGCATCCCCTGCGAAGTATGCGGATACGATAACCATAGAGACCGCGCTGCCCTTGGTGTAAACCAGTAAGGGAACGCAGTCTCTAGTCAGGAATTCTGAAAGGATAGTAAAGTTAATACTTTTGCTTACCATGATACAAGCTCTGGGTGCTGGATCTCTCCGATCCCAGATTACCTTTGAGTCGACTGTGAACAGGCCCTTGATGCCATCGTTCACCCACGGCTCCTGTACCAGGGCCAGCCCAAGGTGTTTGTTGGTAAACATCCTTGCTAAGACCGCCGAGGCTGCCTTAGCTCGGTGGATGTTTACCTGGGCTAGCCCTGTGTTGATGACATTTGACATCTACTTTTGGGGAGGCTCCAGCTGACACGGTGAATGGGGCCTGGAGCAGTCCCCGCCACCGCTGCTCGTCATAGTGACGTCAGCTTCAGCTGCATCCTGCAGCTGCTCCTCCAGCTCCTGCGAGGACATGGGGATATCGTCGTCCCCCAGCATCTCCGCCTGGCAGAGCGTCGCATCTGCCAGTTCTTCGTCATCTGCGAGGTCCTCCGACGGGTCGGTGGGCTGCGCAGTCGGACTGCCCTGCTCCGGGGCAGGAGTGTCCGATGTGGTGATGTTGCCCACCGAGACATCCTCTCTGCCCGTTGGAGCAAGTTGGGGCCTTTCTCCAGTCTTCTTTTTCTTCAGTCCGCTTACGGGGATGGTCCCATAACGGAAGAAGACCTGGTGCCCCTTCTCCACAATAACATTCTTGGATAGTTCATCTATCCCGATCACCAGGAGGGCTCCTCCACCCTCGTTCCTCCTGGAGATCACCTTCCAGGTGTCGGTCTCGATCCTGTTCTGGTTCCTCAGCAGAACCAACAGGGATTCGGTAGACCGAGCTGCACTCCTGGGGCAGAACAGCGTGATGCAGTGGGGCGACGGTATGTCGTCCCCAACCTTGCACTCAAGGGGCACGCCCTTCCACGACTGTAGCCTCGAAGTTGCAATCCTTAGCCAATCGGCTGAGGTCTCATCGGAGCATTCAATTACCAGGAATCCAACCCGGAAGTGAATGCCCACGAATGAGACCGCGACATCTCCATCAGATGCAATGACTTCGTCAATGATGGCCTCTTCCAACACAGATAAATCTCCGTGACTGAGCATGACCCTTGCGAAGCCCACGGGCAACACAGCCACCTTTACCATTTTTGCCATGTCTGCATAGGACAGGCGAGGCTCGGTGGGTGTCGGCGAGCTGGGCTTCGTGGCCGCTGCACGCGATGTGCTTGGGCGCAGGTCCAGATTACCTGCCCCATTGTTCTTCAGCACCTTTGCCGCTGCCGAGCCGCGGGCAGCGCCCACAACCCCCGGGCACATCCTCTTGGGGGTGGCCACCGGAGGTGTGAGACTGCTGCTCCGCCTTTTCGAGGCTGGCGCGGGTGCTGCAATCTCCTCCCTGGGCTCTTTGGCCTTTTTCAGGGCTTCATCGGGGTTGAGTCCCTGCTGGAGGTACCGGAGGTACCACTTGACCCTTGAACCGCAGAGATTTCTCCGGTTCGGGTCATCCAGCCCACCGGGTTGACCCCTTGGTGGCAGGAGCTCTCCCTTCCTCTTTGGGCGCTGAGCGCCTTGCCTCGCGCTGTTCGGTGTTGGGTGCGGTGGTCTGAGTGTACCAGCCATCGGTCTCCCATGCCTCACAGCCGGAGTTTCTCGTGCCCGTGGCACTCTCCTATTTGTTGCTGGAGCAGCACGGTGTGGAGGATTGTCTACCACACGCAAGTGTCGTTCTCCGTCAGGGATATGACCCTCTAATTGTCTTGCGACAAGTTCCGCAGGGAGATCCTGCGATATCTTTATATATTGTAACTTTTCCATGGAATCCCACGAGCTGCGGAGAAGTAAGTGTCCGCCCGCGCAGAGATCCGCAATACCCGGGTAAGGCTGAATTAGAACAGACGGTCGCCATTTGCCTGAGCTCACCGTTAAAGACTGGGCTAGTTTTGATCCGGGCCCCCAGCCAGGCTGACTCTCGGCACGGTTCGAATAACGCCTTAGTCCGGCCCGGAGTGAGATGAGGGGGTAGGATGTGGTAGGTAGTTTTGTGGGGAGATAGGGGGATGTGTGAGGCTATACTTTAGAAGGCGGCGACACAAGCGCATCGTCGGTGCGATCGGCATAATCGCACCCGCTGTTTGTCCGGACTGCTTATTTACGAAAAGTATCGTATTATTCGCAGCTAACCTCCCCGAGGGGAGGCCGTTCGCTATCCGCAACCCGCGACCCGCCTGGTGGCCTCAGCTCAGCCCCATCCGAACCATCCCACAAGTTCTCAGACCAGGATTGGCGAAGATACATCCGTTTGAATTTGGAAACAGAAACTTAAAACGTCAATTTCTCGAAATGACTTCGCGACTACATATTTTCAGCTTTTGATGCAGAGTCAAAATATATAAAAAGGGCTTCATAATGTTGAAAGAAATTCTGACTTCTGACAATTATTGGCGAAGATACATCCGTTTGAATTTGGTAAAAGAAACTTAAAACGCCAATATCTCGAAATGACTTCGAGACTACGTATTTTCAGCTTTTGATGCATAGTCAAAATATATAAAAAGGGCTTCATAATGTTGAAAGAAATTCTAACTTCTGACAATTATTGGCGAAGATACATCCGTTTGAATTTGGAAACAGAAACTTAAGACGTCAATTTCTCGAAATGAGTTCGAGACTACATATTTTCAGCTTTTGATGCAGGGTCAAAATATATAAAAAGGGCTTCATAATGTTGAAAGAAATTCTAACTTCTGACAATTATTGGCGAAGATACATCCGTTTGAATTTGGAAACAGAAACTTAAAACGTCAATTTCTCGAAATGACTTCGAGACTACATATTTTCAGCTTTTGATGCAGAATCAAAATATATAAAAAGGGCTTCATAATGTTGAAAGAAATTCTAACTTCTGACAATTATTGGCGAAGATACATCCGTTTGAATTTGGAAACAGAAACTTAAGACGTCAGTTTCTCGAAATGAGTTCGAGACTACATATTTTCAGCTTTTGATGCAAAATCAAAATATATAAAAAGGGATTCATAATGTTGAAAGAAATTCTAACTTCTGACAATTATTGGCGAAGATACATCCGTTTGAATTTGGAAACAGAAACTTAAAACGTCGATTTCTCGAAATGAGTTCGAGACTACATATTTTCAGCTTTTGATGCAGAGTCAAAATATATAAAATGGGCTTCATAATGTTGAAATAAATTCTAACTTCTGACAATTATTGGCGAAGATACATCCGTTTGAATTTGGAAACCGAAACTTAAAACGTCAATTTCTCGAAATGACTTCGCGACTACATATTTTCAGCTTTTGATGCAGAGTCAAAATATATAAAAAGGGCTTCATAATGTTGAAAGAAATTCTAACTTCTGACAATTATTGGCGAAGATACATCCGTTTGAATTTGGAAACAGAAACTTAAGACGTCAGTTTCTCGAAATGAGTTCGAGACTATATATTTTCAGCTTTTGATGCAGGGTCAAAATATATAAAAAGGGCTTCATAATGTTGAAAGAAATTCTAACTTCTGACAATTATTGGCGAAGATACATCCGTTTGAATTTGGAAACCGAAACTTAAAACGTCAATTTCTCAAAATGACTTCGCGACTACATATTTTCAGCTTTTGATGCATAGTCAAAATATATAAAAAGGGCTTCATAATGTTGAAAGAAATTCTAACTTCTGACAATTATTGGCGAAGATACATCCGTTTGAATTTGGAAACAGAAACTTAAGACGTTAATTTCTCGAAATGAGTTCGCGACTACATATTTTCAGCTTTTGATGCAGGGTCAAAATATATAAAAAGGGCTTCATAATGTTGAAAGAAATTCTAACTTCTGACAATTATTGGCGAAGATACATCCGTTTGAATTTGGAAACAGAAACTTAAAACGTCAATTTCTCGAAATGACTTCGAGACTACATATTTTCAGCTTTTGATGCAGAATCAAAATATATAAAAAGGGCTTCATAATGTTGAAAGAAATTCTAACTTCTGACAATTATTGGCGAAGATACATCCGTTTGAATTTGGAAACAGAAACTTAAGACGTCAGTTTCTCGAAATGAGTTCGAGACTACATATTTTCAGCTTTTGATGCAGGGTCAAAATATATAAAAAGGGCTTCATAATGTTGAAAGAAATTCTAACTTCTGACAATTATTGGCGAAGATACATCCGTTTGAATTTGGAAACAGAAACTTAAGACGTCAATTTCTCGAAATGAATTCGAGACTACATATTTTCAGCTTTTGATGCAGAATCAAAATATATAAAAAGGGATTCATAATGTTGAAAGAAATTCTAACTTCTGACAATTATTGGCGAAGATACATCCGTTTGAATTTGGAAACAGAAACTTAAAACGTCGATTTCTCGAAATGACTTCAAGACTACATATTTTCAGCTTTTGATGCAGAATCAAAATATATAAAAAGGGCTTCATAATGTTGAAAGAAATTCTAACTTCTGACAATTATTGGCGAAGATACATCCGTTTGAATTTGGAAACCGAAACTTAAAACGTCAATTTCTCGAAATGACTTCGCGACTACATATTTTCAGCTTTTGATGCAGAGTCAAAATATATAAAAAGGGCTTCATAATGTTGAAAGAAATGTTGACTTCTGCCAATTATTGGCGAAGATACATCCGTTTGAATTTGGAAACAGAAACTTAAAACGTCAATTTCTCGAAATGACTTCGCGACTACATATTTTCAGCTTTTGATGCAGAGTCAAAATATATAAAAAGGGCTTCATAATGTTGAAAGAAATTCTAACTTCTGACAATTATTGGCGAAGATACATCCGTTTGAATTTGGAAACAGAAACTTAAAACGTCAATTTCTCGAAATGACTTTGAGACTACATATTTTCAGCTTTTGATGCAGAGTCAAAATATATAAAAAGGGCTTCATAATGTTGAAAGAAATTCTAACTTCTGACAATTATTGGCGAAGATACATCCGTTTGAATTTGGAAACAGAAACTTAAAACGTCGATTTCGCGAAATGACTTCGAGACTACATATTTTCAGCTTTTGATGCATAGTCAAAATATATAAAAAGGGCTTCATAATGTTGAAAGAAATTCTAACTTCTGACAATTATTGGCGAAGATACATCCGTTTGAATTTGGAAACAGAAACTTAAGACGTCAATTTCTCGAAATGACTTCGAGACTACATATTTTCAGCTTTTGATGCAGGGTCAAAATATATAAAAAGGGGTTCATAATGTTGAAAGAAATTCTAACTTCTGACAATTATTGGCGAAGATACATCCGTTTGAATTTGGAAACCGAAACTTAAAACGTCAATTTCTCAAAATGACTTCGCGACTACATATTTTCAGCTTTTGATGCATAGTCAAAATATATAAAAAGGGCTTCATAATGTTGAAAGAAATTCTAACTTCTGACAATTATTGGCGAAGATACATCCGTTTGAATTTGGAAACAGAAACTTAAGACGTTAATTTCTCGAAATGAGTTCGCGACTACATATTTTCAGCTTTTGATGCAGGGTCAAAATATATAAAAAGGGCTTCATAATGTTGAAAGAAATTCTAACTTCTGACAATTATTGGCGAAGATACATCCGTTTGAATTTGGAAACAGAAACTTAAAACGTCAATTTCTCGAAATGACTTCGAGACTACATATTTTCAGCTTTTGATGCAGAATCAAAATATATAAAAAGGGCTTCATAATGTTGAAAGAAATTCTAACTTCTGACAATTATTGGCGAAGATACATCCGTTTGAATTTGGAAACAGAAACTTAAGACGTCAGTTTCTCGAAATGAGTTCGAGACTACATATTTTCAGCTTTTGATGCAGAATCAAAATATATAAAAAGGGCTTCATAATGTTGAAAGAAATTCTAACTTCTGACAATTATTGGCGAAGATACATCCGTTTGAATTTGGAAACAGAAACTTAAAACGTCAATTTCTCGAAATGAATTCGAGACTACATATTTTCAGCTTTTGATGCAGAATCAAAATATATAAAAAGGGGTTCATAATGTTGAAAGAAATTCTAACTTCTGACAATTATTGGCGAAGATACATCCGTTTGAATTTGGAAACAGAAACTTAAAACGTCGATTTCTCGAAATGACTTCAAGACTACATATTTTCAGCTTTTGATGCAGAATCAAAATATATAAAAAGGGCTTCATAATGTTGAAAGAAATTCTAACTTCTGACAATTATTGGCGAAGATACATCCGTTTGAATTTGGAAACCGAAACTTAAAACGTCAATTTCTCGAAATGACTTCGCGACTACATATTTTCAGCTTTTGATGCAGAGTCAAAATATATAAAAAGGGCTTCATAAGATACATCCGTTTGAATTTGGAAACAGAAACTTAAGACGTCAATTTCTCGAAATGACTTCGAGACTACATATTTTCAGCTTTTGATGCAGGGTCAAAATATATAAAAAGGGCTTCATAATGTTGAAAGAAATTCTAACTTCTGACAATTATTGGCGAAGATACATCCGTTTGAATTTGGAAACAGAAACTTAAAACGTCAATTTCTCGAAATGACTTCGCGACTATATATTTTCAGCTTTTGATGCAGAATCAAAATATATAA